GGTCCTTCAATCTCCCAAAGAGATAATAGTCAGAGGGGGCCAAATCAGGGTTAGGCCTTGGGGTTAGGATTAGGACTTGGCATTAGGGATTAGCACAATCAGAAGAGAGGGTTAGGGTTAGGTTTTTATAATGTTGAACTAGACACTAAGATCTGAGTTCTGACAAAAGTTGAATAACTTTCATTGAAAATTTCAAGAGATCTCAAGATGGAATGCAAGAGTAAGAACTTTTTGTACAACTATGATCAATGAAATTTTGTTGAGTATATGTTTTATGTTGATCAGTGTTTGAATTTTTAAATGATTGCCAAAGAATTTTTGACATCCCATAGTTTCATCTTCCACTTTTGCAAAGACTCATCAGGGCCATTTTCAGAGGATAGCTTCACTTACTACTATCTTGAAGGGGAGGAAAGGACCACTTCTGTAATTAAATCCTTCCTTGCAATTATATTTTTTGTTTTATTGCTTGTTTGTTTTTTGTGTTCTACTGCTGTTGCTGGCAAAATTTATGCATTTGCAAGTCATAACAATACTGGTTCTACTCAAACCTTTAAACAAATGTTTAAATTAAAATGGTTTATTCGCAATAATAATACTTAAGCAAGTAGTAATATGAGAGTTCTATAGCAGAATGGATAGTTCGTAATAGCAGGTTGCCAAATTACCAAACTGTCTTCCAATGTTGAGGAGTAGATGGATGGTTCCAGTTGAGGTTGTTTCCAGGTTATCTTCCCAGGTCCTTGGGTCCAGATAAAGATGTGTAGAAAATGAGAATAGTGAGGATTTATATACTTTGAGGTTTGCCTCTGACATCCAATCATCACTTTACAGTTGCCACAATGTGTAGTTCATATTTATCTTTAGTAAGAGGATGTTACAAGTTTCAACATTTAGGAAGGTTAATAGAATTTAACTTGGCCAAACCTTTATTGGTAATTAAAGATGAATAGGGGTAAAACCGTACCCGGGTTAAACCATACCCACCAGAGGGTTAAACCGTACCCAGGTTAAACCATACCCATAAAAGGGTTAAACAGTACCCATTAAGAAGTTAAACCATACCAACTTTAAAATAATGAACATACATTAACAAATGTATTATTTTGAATAATATTATATTTACTGTATGAACAAAACATTGTTTAGTGTCAGTGTGTGTGTGTGTCAGTGAATGCTGTTGTACGTGGCAGGTGACCTAAAGCCACAGTCCTAAATTTGGTCCGACTTGATATCAAGTCAGATAGCAAATGTTGCAAAGTCAACAGACAGATGAGTAGAATCAAGCACACGCTAAAATGACAAGAGTAACTGTGAGAGGTATAAAAGGGAAAATATGTGACAGTACAGGGTCAGAGTCAAACGAAGTTTATAAATAAATTGTAACGAAATTATTAATTAATTTCGTGATACAAGTAAAATATTAATCTTGTAACTGTATATATATATATATATATATGTGTGTGTAAATTATTAAATTAATTCCACGATATTCTGTTACTTAGAATACCAGTTTTTAATATTTGTACTCATTTCAAGTCAGCCATCTTGATTTAATATTCTGTTTTTCTTTTCATTTCATTTTTAATTGTTTTAATTTTTTAGATAAATGTATGTTTGTATATCTGCTATATACATTGTATCAGTATAACATAGATTTCATTATCACAAGTTTCATAAACATATATCATATATTAAATAAAAAATGGGTACGGTTTCACCTGCTCCCATTAAAGATGAGCCTTCAAGCTGACTAATCAAACCATTGTTTGGCCAATGTTATAGAATTTTCTTGCATAGGTTTTAAGAGGTACATGTATATGTTGCATCAAATAATAGAGTTCAAGCATGTAAAATATAACCAAAGTTGTACAATGTCAAATTACAATTAAGTAATTTGAAGGGAATTCAAAAAATAAAATACACTAAACTGATATATTTATTGTAGAATTTGAAAAGTTAGCCTATACAGGAAATGCTTGTTTAATCTTTAACTATAAGTCAAAATCTACAACTATGCTGTCGATATGTCATTTGTTTTTTGCTTTATCATATTTAGTTTCAGTTAAATAATTGAATATAATAAACATTGTTATTTTCAAAAATAACACCTTGTCTTATTTTCCAAGGACACCTTTTTCTTATGACTCTGTATGTACACTATAATCCATCATGAATTGTGCTTAAAAACAGCCATATTAAATACTTAGAATACAATCTACAACTATTGAAAAGAGTGATTTAGTAAAAATCATCAATTAACAGTCAGTCATGAATTTTTTGTTCAAAGTGTGGTTACCAATATATTATTTTGTAACTAAAATTTAACGATTGGAAAATTGATAAAATCCTCATCAAATGAAACAGTTGTATGCAGCTATTTAGAATTTAAAGGTAATATATTATTCATTTTTTACTGACCTAGGCCTAATAGATGTTTTTATGAATAAACCAACAGAATTTAAAATTGAAAAATATGAAAAAGTATTCATATCACAAATTTTTTGAAGTGGAGAAAAAGAAGGATTGTTAAAGACTATGTTAAATTCAAGAATGAATGGATATGTCAACAATCACAATTAAATACTACTTTTGATTGTTTCTTTAATCAATCTAGGATAGATAATTCTCATATATTAGGTACAATCAAAAAATTTCAAGCTCTGTGCTATAATTTTAAAATGGCTTAACTAATAGAATTGCAATTTATGGACAAACAGCAAAAGAGATGTCATTTTTGGAAAGGCCTATATTTCTTTTCAAATAAAATAGTGCTATTGAACCTTTATTTAATAATATTGCGAGATACGTAGCTTTGTAGCTGCAAATTTATCCAATGGATTATAAAGCAGCTACAAATCATTTTGTTGTCCCAACTGTAGTCATCCGCATTGCTCATTCAATATTATGGCAAAATACTTAAAAAAACTTGATGCTGTGTTAGATTTATCGTTTGGCTGTTGTTTAAATGTCATAGCCCCGATAGGATGAATGATTCATAGTCTTGATTTTGTCCATTACTGATAGGCTGGATTCATTGAAGGATGATTTATTACTTTAGGTCATTCCCTATTGAAAATATTGATCAAATAGCTGATTTCATCTTTTTCCTTACTGCTTATTTAATAACACGTCTGCCAACTAGTCCAAACTGAGCCATGAAATTTATAGAAAGTTCTAATTGCCTGAATTTAGTATTGACAATTTGAATATTAATGATTCAGTTAAAAGAATATTGAAGAAGTTGTTATTAAATGACAATAAAGTTTCACAAGCATAGAAAACAAGTATTCAAAGCATTACTCATTGCTGCCTTTTAATAATGTAACTTTTAATAATTAAAAGAATTTTCACTGTTATTTTGTATGAAGAATTCAAATAAACAACTCGATATCTTTTAGTTTTTTTTATTTGTTCTATCAATTGACAAGGATACGACAGAAAACGTCCACAAATGAGTGCTTTTACCCTAACCCTAACTCAGCCCTTAGCAGTACCAAACATTTTCCATTACCCCTAACCCTTAGAGGAGATCCTCCTAAGTACAAATCAATTGCTGTTTTCTTCTGCCTAACCATTTCTCAATCCAAATTTTTGTCTTGAAATTTCTCATTTGTGGACGTTTTCTGTCGACCCCAATTGACAAGCATTAAAGAATAAATTTAGTCTTTTCATCCCTTTTCGACAAAAAATTTGGTTGCATTTAAGAAATTTTTAATAATTCTGCATTGAAAACGACAGTTGCTTTGGGTGCAATCAATCCTGGAACTCCTTTTGAACCGTAAGCAAAATCTGGACTGCAAGTGAGCTCTGCTCTTGCTCCAAGGCTCGTTTGCAAAACACCTTCATCCCAATCTCTGATTACTTGACAGGAACCAATCTTGAATATGAATGGCTTTCCCTTGTCATTGGGAAAAATTTCTTGCCATTGGTTAATGTTCCTATTCAAAATGGTTTAATCTTTTAACCAGATTTAAGTCTGAAACACTTTAGCAATGTCTTCTGTATTGTCAGAATAGAATATTCACACTTTCAATTTTTTCTTAAATGTAACCAGCTATAACATGTTTTAAAATCAAATAAGCAGGCTATACTTTTCAGGGTTTTTTTCAAGTATAGGCTTAACAACAGCTTTTGGTCATAGCAAGACTAAGATAAATCTTACTAAAAGAGTGCAATTTATTAAACAATATGAAATTTACTGCAAATATCATCAGCAGAATGTTCAATTATGCATTTTTTGTAAACACCAGCAGCATCTTCAATGCCATAATTTAGAAGAAAACCAAGAAAATTCTTGCAAGGTACATAAATTCTCCAAAAATCTTTTCTGTAGCACTGGTCAAGTTGATCACTATAAAATGGTGCACTAACCTTTCTCTGTTAAACACAGAATGTTGAA